CTCTTTTGTCCATTCTTTCCCAGGTGCTTGCTTGCCCTTCTGGCTTTTCACCATGCAGCTTCATAGCATAGCATATTGGACTTCTCAGCCTCCAGAACTGTGAGCTAAATAAGCTTTTCTGTATAGATTACCCAGTCTCAGGTACTCAGTTCTAGCAGCACAAAATGAACTAAGAGATCCCATAGCCAATTTACCATGAAATCACGCTGACTCTACCATCATAGTATATCCGCCATCTACCTCCATTGCTACCACCTGGTCTGAGAAACATCTTTCACCTGGGTTACTGCAGTAGCCTCCTAAAAGATCACCCTAAATCTACCACTGCTACCACACAGATTATTTTTCACCCAGGACCCAGAATGATTCACACAGAACTTAAGTCAGATTTTGTGTCCTATGCTCAAAATCCTGTAGTAGTTTTCCATTTCACTAAGAATAAAAACCAAATTTCTTACACTATCACACAAGACCATACTTGATCTAGCCTCCCTCATTTACTCTGCTCCAGCCACACTGGCCACCTTGTTGTTTCTTGAACATTCTGGGCATGGTCCTATCTTAGTGCCTCTGCTTAGCACTTCTCTTCCTGAAATGGTCTTCTCCAAGATTTCTACTTAACTGACTCTCTCAACTTCTTTGACTCTTTGCCAAAACCTCATCTTTTCAATGAGGTTTCCTCTGACCACCCTATTTCATACTATAATCTGCTCCCCATTCCCTACCCCCAGAACTTTCAATCTTTGTTTTTTCACAGTGCTTATAACTTTCTAATATGAAATATTGTTTTCTTGTTACCACTGTTATCTTTCTCCACTGCTAAAATGTAAACTTCAGGAAGGAAGAGATCTTCCCTGCTATATCCAGAGAACTTATAAGAGTACCAGGCACACAATAGGTACCCAATAAATATTTTATGTTTATTAAATGTTCAATAAACATAAAAAATGGATTACATGTTCCTTGAAGGTTCAGTAGTATTTCCCTCAAAATCATTTGACCTTCATGCTATTTTTGTGGAAAGATTTTTTTAAGCTTGTGATTTCATTTATTTAGTATCTCTAGGTCTATTTATGTTTTCTATTGCATTTCAGTCCATGTTGATAAGTTTTACATTTCTATGAAGCCATATATTTCATCTAAGTTTGAAAATGTATTGGCATAAAGCTGTCTAACATGCTCTCTTACATTTCTTTAAATCACCACTGTGGTTATATTTTTCTTTCCAAATGTTTATTTTCTCTCTCCGTTTATTATCAATCTGGTTGATACTCTGTTGTCTTACATAACTCTCCTCTTTATTATTACCTTTTCTCTGTGTTCTTTGGCCTAACTCTATTGGTCTTTTTCTTTATTACTCAAATTATTTTTCATGATCAGTGATACAGCACTTGCCAATATTTCCAGATTCCTCCTAGACTCAGGAGAATATTACACCTCCCTGTCCTATTAAAGTTAGGCAAGGCCAACTGACTAGCTCTGGCCAATGATATATGTCACTTTTGATGGAAACATCTAAAAACCTATGCATGGGGAAACAATGACTTCAATAAACAGTGCTGGGTCAATTAGATATTTATATGGGAAAAACAAATTGTGACGCCACTCATAAAAATCATTTCCAGATGGATGGCAGATATAAATTTGAACAATCTTGGTGAGATTAAGGTTTCTCTTTTTTTCCTCTTTTTAAAAATAGAGATGGGGTCTTTCTGTGTTGCCCAGGCTGGTCCTAGGTTCAAGTGATCCTCCTGCCTCTGTCTCTCAAAGTGCTGGGATTACAGGCGTGAGCCCAGATAAGGTTTCACAAACAGAGCAGAAAAACACTAAGGTAAAGGGGGAGACGACAAATTGACAAATATTAAGATGAAAAACTTTTGTTCTTTGAAAGGTATCATTAAGATGGTGAAAAAGGCCAGGGCAGTGGCTCATGCCTGTAATCCCAGCACTCTGGGAGGCTGAGGTGGGTGGATCATGAAGTCAGGAATTTGAGACCAGCCTAGCCAATATGGTGAAATCCCATTTCTACTAAAAATACAAAGATTAGCCAAGCATGGTGGCATGCACCTGTAATCCCGCAACGCAGGAGGCTGAGGCAGAAGAATCACTTGAACCCCGGAGGTGGAGGTTGCAGTGAGCCGAGATTGTGCCACTGCACTCCAGCCTGGGTGACAGAGTGAGACTGGAAGCATTCCCTCTGAAATCTGGCACTAGACAAGGATGCCCTCTCTCACCACTCCTATTCAATATAGTACTGGAAGTTCTAGCCAGATCAATCAGGCAAAAAAAAAGAAATAAAGGGTATTCAAATAGGAAAGGAAGAAGTCAAATTGTCTCTATTTGCAGACCACATGATTGTATATCTAGGAGACCCCATCGTCTCAGCCCAAAATCCCCTGAAACTGATAAGCAACTTCAGCAAAGTCTCAGGACACAAAATCAGTGTGCAAAAATCACAAGCATTCCTATACACCAATAACAGACTTAAAGAGAGCCAAATCAAGAACAAACTGCCATTCACAATTGCTACAAAGAGAATAAAATACCTAGGAATACAACAAACAAGGAACATAAAGGACCTCTTCAAGGAGAACTACAAGCCACTGCTCAACGAAATAAGAGAGGACACAACAGATGGAGAAACATTCCATGTTCATGGTTAGGAAGAATCAATATCATGAAAATAGCCATACTGCCCAAAGTAATTTACAGATTCAATGCTATTCCCATCAAGCTACCAATGACCTTCTTCACAGAACTGGAAAAAACCACCTTAAACTTCATATGGAACCAAAAGAGAGCCCGCATAGCCAAGAAAATCCTAAGCAAAAAGAACAAAGCAGGAGGCATCACACTACCAGACTTCAAACTATACAACAAGGCTACAGTAATCAAAACAGCATGGTACTGGTACCAAAACAGATATAGACCAATGGAACAGAACAGAGGCCTTGGAGGCCAACACAACATATCTACAACCATCCAATCTTTGACAAACCTGACAAAAACAAGCAATGGGGAAAGTATTCCCTGTTTAATAAATGGTGTTGGGAAAACTGGCTAACCATGTGCAGAAAGCAGAAACTGGATCCCTTCCTGACACTTTACACTAAAATTAACTCCAGATGGATTAAAGACTTAAACATAAGACCTAACACCACAAAAACCCTAGAAGAAAATCTAGGCAAAACCATTCAGAACATAGGCATAGGCAAGGACTTCATGACCAAAACACCAAAAGCATTGGCAACAAAAGCCAAAATAGACAAATGGGACCTAATCAAACTCCACAGCTTCTGCACGGCAAAAGAAACAGTCATTAGGGTGAATCGGCAACCAACAGAATGGGAAAAAATTTTTGCAGTCTACCCATCTGACGAAGGGCTGATATCCAGAATTTACAAAGAACTAAAACAGATCTACAAGAAAAAAACAAGCCCATTCAAAAGTGGGCTAAGGATATGAACACTTTACAAAAGAAGACATACAGGAGGCCAAGAAACATATGAAAAAATGCTCATCATCACTGGTCATTAGAGAAATGCAAATCAAAACTACATACTACATTGAGATACCATTTCACGCCAGTTAGAATGGCGATCATTAAAAAATCTGGAGACAACAGATGCTGGAGAGGATGTGGAGAAATAGGAACACTCTTACACTGTTGGTGGGAGTGTAAATTAGTTCAACCATTGTGGAAGACAGTGTGGCGATTCCAGAAGGACCTAGAAATAGAAATCCCATTTGACCCAGCAATCCCATTACTGGGTATATAGCCAAAGGATTATAAATCGTTCTACTATACGGACACATGCACACGAATGTTCATTGCAGCACTGTTTACAATAGTAAAGACCTGGTACCAACCCAAATGCCCGTCAATGATAGATTGGACAGGGAAAATATAGTACATATACACCATGGAATATCATGCAGCCATCAAAAATGATGAGTTCATGTCCTTTCTAGGGACATGGATGAACCTGGAAACCATCATTCTCAGCAAACTGACACAAGAGCAGAAAATCAAACACTGCATGTTCTCACTCATAGGCGGGTGTTGAACAATGAGAACACATGGACACAGGGAGAGGAGCACTACACACTGGGGTCTGTTGGGGTGAAATGGGGGAGGGATGGGGGATGGGGATGTGGGAAGAGATAGCTTGGGGAGAAATGACAGATACAGGTGAGGGGACGAAGGCAGCAAATCATACTGCCATGTGTGTACCTATGCAACAATCTAGCATGTTCTTCGCATGTACCCCAAAACCTAAAATGCAATTTAAAAAATGTTCAAATAGGCCAGGCGCAGTGGCTCATGCCTGTAATCTCAGCACTTTGGGAGGCTGAAGTCGGTGTTCACCTGAGGCCACAAGTTCAAGACCAGCCTGGCCAACATGGCAAAACTGTCTCAACTAAAAATACAAAAAGAAAAAGAAAAATTAGCCAGGAGTGGTGGTAGGTGCCTCTAATCCTAGCTACTCCAGAGGCTGAGGCAGGAGAATTGCTTGAACTCGGGAGGTGGAGGCTTCAGTGAGCCGAGGTTACGCCATTGCACTCCAGCCTGGGCAACAAGAGCTAAACACCATCTCCAAAAAAAAAAAAAAAAAAAAAAAAAGGTGAGGAGATTTTTAAATATATATATACTGGAATATATGCATTACACATAATCTCACCATCTTTTTTTTTCTTCCAGTATATGGATTACAAATATCTTCTCCCACTGGAAGAAAAACTAGTATTCGGCATGTAAAAAGGCTTCCTACACATCCGTCTGAAAGACATAGAAGGCGGGTCCAGCAGAGACACAGAAGGCTCGGACACTGCACAAGCGAGGATATCCTAATGGCCAAAAAACACATGAGAAAGTTCTCAGTTCATTAGACTTCGGCTAAATGCAAATTAAAATCACCAGGTAATACCATTACTCATCCTGCACAAGGGCTAAAATAAGTAAGATGAACAAGACACCACCACGGACTCGCGAGACTGAGGGGCGGGTGTCGCGAGACTGACGAGTGGGCGGCGCAAATGGTCGAGGCGTCCACTCGCCATTTTGTGTGAGGGACGCCGACGCTGCGCCCAGCTGGCCTGGTCTCTACCCAGTGCAGCCCTGGCCGCCACCAACGTGAGCCTCCTGGAAAGTCCTCGCAGCCCGCCTACTCTCGGCCGTGTCCTGGAAGACCCGCACCAGGGCCGGCGGTCCGGAGACGAGAGTGAGGCGAAGCAGGTAATGGCGGAGACACTGGAGAGCCGCTCGGAGCCAATTTTGCTCCCACCGCCAGGGCTTCCAGAGGAATGGGTGGCGCCCCAGGATCCCACAGATGGTGGCGATACTCTCCACGTCTTGGTCGATGGGGGTCGCGGTCATGGAGCCATCGACGCGGAGGGCGGGAAAACGGCCTCTGCCTCCGTGGCCGCTGACGGCATCCTCAGAGCTGGCTCTCGGGGGGAAGAGAGGCGCGGCCCCGGCGGGGAGAAGGCGCCAGAACCCTGGGGCACAGGGAGGCCGGGGTCCGAAGGGACTGCAGTGGGGAAGCCCGAGGACCTGAAGCCTGAAGAGTGGGCCTTGCTCTCCGCCGCGGGGGTCGAGAAGCCCGGAGGCACAGAAATGGACGTGGCGGGAGCAAACAGCGCGGCGGATGAGGTGGCCGTGGAGGCAGGGCCTGCGCCCCGCAGCCTGGATCTCCGCCTGAACCCCCTGCAGGCCGTCCACCTGGAACTGGCCTCCGTGAATGCCGAGGCCGACAGGGCCCTGCTGCGGCTGGGGCGCAGGTTTGGGCCGATACACGAGTACTACCTGGAGCGGAGGAATGACGTGATCCGCAGCATCCCGGGCTTCTGGCTCACTGCCTTCCGCAACCACCCACTGCTGTCTGCCGTGATCAGAGGCCAAGATGCAGCGATGCTGAGCTACTTAACCGACCTGGAAGTGAAGGAGCTCAGACACCCTAGGACCGGGTGCAAGTTCAAGTTCTTCTTTCGAAGAAACCCTTACTTCAGAAACAAGCTGATTGTCAAGGCGTATGAGGTCATAGCCTACGGCCAAGTGGTGTCTTTTTCCACTCTAGTTACGTGGCGCCGGGGCCATGGACCGCAGTCCTTCATTCATAGGAACCGACATGTCATCTGCACCTTCTTCACTTGGTTTTCAGACCACTGCCTTCCAGAGTCTGACAGGATTGCTCACATTATTAAAGAGGACATCTGGCCGAATCCACTGCAGTACTACTTGTTGCGTGAAGGCGCCCAGAGAGCTAGACGTCGCCCGGTAAGGGAGCCAGTGGAGATCCCGAGGCCCTTTGCGTTCCAGTCTGGTTAACCCTGGCCTTTGGAACTGCTCCCGCAGAAGGCCTCCTGCCACCACCTGCTGGACCTGTGCTTGGGCAACAGTATTAGGTATGCCCTTTCCTCTTTTTGTTCTGACTTTTCTGTACTCTCTGTCTAAACTTTCCGTTCTCTCACCCTGAAGATTGAGACCTTGGTGGCTCTGCTGCTCCCCTTTCGCCTGGTCGTCTTGCTGTTCTGCGTTAACATCACAGGCTCCCAGCCGATGAGTCACATCCTTCTAAGTGAATGATGCTGTAGACTGCACTGTCTTTACCTTTGTTTGGACACTGTTTGTTCCCGGGACCTCTGGTCTGGCTCCTCCTACCTGGATTTCTAGCTGTGTCTAAGAACCTATTCTGCTCACCCTGTTCTACATCTGACAATACAGGCGGCCTGTGGACAACTGCTAGGCATTGATGAAGTCAAGGAAGAACAGCAGGGGGCAGCTTGGTCTGCGTGAATTATGGGACTCCCCATTACTTTTCCTGAGACTCTGGTCACTGATTGCTGCCTGCTACTGGCTATGCCCACCACCTTGGGCAGCTCCCTGCTGAGTGAACATATTCCAGACCATTGCCAGCTCCACTCTCTGGTTTCTAATAAACAGGATCTCCAGAACACTGGTGGTGGATACAGGTTTCCTGTCAACACACAAAAGACCCGTTCCTCTACCAAAAGATCTCTGAATTCTTCACCACCATCACTCTTGTCACCCAGAAATCCTACTGTCAAACAAGTGGTTGAGGGGACATGATAGACCCTATCCTCATGGCAAGGGTAATATCTTGACAAGTACCAGGCTTTCTCAGCCACCATCAGTGGCTTCATTAAAATCTAGGTACCTTTATTTGCCTCCCTTCCTGTACCTAATGAAGTGCCAGAGTGGGTGTACACTTTCTTTTCTCTCATCTATCTCTTCTGTCTTTTTTTTTTTTTTAAAGTGGTAATTATGAACTATCCACAGAAGCAGGCCTTTTAGTTTCTTGGCTCTTTTTGTCATGTCCAGGGGCAGGCTTTTCTGTAAAATACACTGCCAGATCTCTTATTGCCCACTCTTTCTTTTCAGCCCCTCATCCCTCCTTAGCAATTCCTACAGGGTTTAAAGGAATACAGAGCTGGATGGAATGAAAGGTGATTTCTAGTTCAGAGTGGATAGAAGAACTAAAGAGATTGTGATGGGTGCTCTAAGCATGGAAAACTGAACAAAAAGGCAGAGGTGAGGCAGAAATGTTTCAGGGGAAAATTGGGCCTAGAATGAACACTGGGTTGACTTGAGATCCTGTGAGGAAGGGGAACTAACTTACTGTTAGCTATGATTGGAAGAGAAGTATTTTTTTTTTTTTAAATTGAGATAGAAGACTAGAAGATGGCTGTTAAACACTGCAATTTTGGGTATTTTCTTTCTTGTTTGCATGTGGCCTTATTTATGTAGAAGATTAATACTGTGTTGTAACACTTTCTCTGTTTCTGTTTACTGGGAAGATTGAGCTGTACAGATTTACTTTCAATTTGGAATAATATCGGTCTTTCTTTTTTGTACATTATAGAGACTTAATGTGGATATTCATGACAGTTTTCAGCCTGGTCTTGTTTCTGTTAAAACCGTATCTTTAACATTTTAATTTGAATAACCTGGTCTTATCTGATGCAGAAGACTGGAAACTGTTGTGTTCATGATAAATAAATTACAAAAAATTTATGGTTCTTATTGTCTTTCTTGATAATTTATTCTGGTAACAACTTAGTAATTAATATGCCTGTTTTGTTTTGTTTTGTTTTTTGTTTTTGGAGACGGAGTCTTGCTCTGAACCCAGGCTGGAGTACAGTGGCGTGATCTCGGCTCACAGCGACCTCCACCTTCTGGGTTAAGCAATTCTCCTGCCTCAGCCTACCAAGCAGCTGGGATCACAGGTGATCACCAGCACGCTGGGCTAATTTTTGTATTTTTAGTAGAGACAGGGTTTCACCGTCTTGGCCAGGCTGGTCTTGAACTCCTGACCTTGTGATCCACCTGCCTCGGCCCAAAGAATGGAAGTGCTTGTGACACAGACTGCTTTGTGAAACTGGAATGATACCATTGGCATATTTGTCTGATCCATTAAGTCAGTGGCATCTTTCCTTATGAATGGATGGTGGTAAAATTAAAGCTTGTTACTGAAAAAGAAAATGATGGAAAATAACAAAGGTTGAAAGTAACAGAGATACCAGAAGGCTCTTACACTGCTTATGGGAGAGTAGCTTTGTACAAATACTTTGGAAAGTTGTTTGGCAGTATCAGTACACACCCTCTGATTTAGCACTGGGAATATACCCAACAGAAATCTATACATATATTCACACAAAGATGTGCATAAACCATTTATAACAGCACAATTTTAATAGCCGACACTGGGAGCTGCCCTAACGTCCATCAGTAGTGAAAAAATTAATTTTTAAAAATGTTCACACGATATAATATGAGAAAGAATTATGCCTACATGCAGTAATATGAATGAATCTCACAAATATGTTGTTGGATGTAAGAAGCCAGACACAAGAGTACATGCTATATAATTCTTCTATGTATGAAGTATAACAGCAGGTAAAACTAATCTATGGTGGTAGAAGTCAGGATAGTGGTTACTGCCAAGGACAGTGACAGTTCTGAGATTTACCTTCCTTGCAAGCTTCACAAGTTAGCCTTACATGCTAGGTCAGAGGACCTTATAACTCAATAATCACAGTCGCAATATTTCACTGGTTCCCTGAGCTCTAATTCCCACAAGATAACATAAAGCCAAGTGACACCTGCACACAGTGCATTGTGTTACAGGAGAGGATCTCTCTAGGACAGGCGTCCCCAAACTTTTTACATAGAGGGCCAGTTCACTGTCCCTCAGACCGCTGGAGGGCCGCCACATACTGTGCTCCTCTCACTGACCACCAATGAAAGAGGTGCCCCTTCCTGAAGTGCGGTGGGGGGCCGGATAAATGGCCTCAGGGGGCCCCGCGGGCCGTAGTTTGGGGACGCCTGCTCTAGGAGCATAAGGAATCTGAATCTTATTTAAAATGAGCAGTAAGAATGCCTGTCGTTTTTGCTTTGAAGGGAGACATCTCTATTACACTGAATAGTAAGTAAACCTATTCTTTGCTCTCTAAGGGACAATCTAAGCAAATCAGCCCTTTGGAACTCTGTCTTCCAAGGCTGGTGAGTATACATCCTTGGAAAAATATTCTGAACACACGGAGTCAGTGCCTTTGCTCACAAGATATGCAGAAACGTGAGACACATGGAGAATTGTCCCCCAATAAACTTTGGGGTGGTAAGTACCTATTGACTGGAAGGAAATATGAGATGGTAGATTTTGAAGGGCTGGTGATGTTTTGGGCCTTGATCTGGGTGCTGGATAATTAAGTATATTCAATTTGTGAAACTTCACTGAGTTGTACATTTAGAAAACATACTTCTCTCTATATATTGTACTTTAATAAAATATTCTTGCTTAAGAAAAAGAAACCAAAGCAAGCAAAGAAATTCAAAACAAAAAAAACTGAAAATCCCACATTATTTTCCTGGAACCTCTATGCCAGAAAAAGGCCACTTTAAAAGTATGCTGCAGATCTTTTTGGGTAGACCATGAATTGATACATGAGAATTATAATAGGATTATTTACTAGCCACATTCAAATGGCTAAAATCCATTTTCTAAGAATAGAAACACTGAATTATCTAGGCATGGGCCATCAACTCTTAGTATTTACAGTGCTCCACTCATTTTGTCAACTGACCTTTTTATCAGAGTCTTCTAGTTATAAACAGTTAATAATAGCTCATGATGGTTCATTTTTATAGCTTTGTTCTTCCAGCCAAATATATAATAAAATCCATATATTATTTTTTTCTGTAGAATAGGGATGATGCTTTTCTGAAGACAAGACTGGCCCCACCATATACTTGCTTTTTAAGATGGTCTATATTTCCAAGTTTTATTTCTTTTCAGGCCTTCCTCTTTGAGGTATAAAGACTTCGTTTGATAATTAAGAGATAAAAATATCAAACCATACCTTTGGCACAAGCTATAGACAATTAGAGTGTAAGTACCAACAAAAGCTTTTATAAAACTATAATGAAATCATTTGCTTGGCTTATTTGAGCAAAATCTTTCCACTTCTGTGTATACAGCAAGGTTTTTGGGGATAATAAGGATAATATACCATTTAAAATGAGGTATTTTTCTTTTACATAAAGAGTATGAAAACAATAATGTATAACATTAACTTACCGCTTTTGTAACATAAGGTATATTTAATTATCTAGACTTTTTATATCAATTCATATCACATATAATTTTAAGTGCCATCCATATAGATGACTTGCCCTGTTTTCCAGTGGCACAGTTTTCTCTTTGCTATTGGTAGCTATAAGCATGAGAAAGAATATTCAGAATATTCTTATTTAAGTAGAGGGGTCCAGAATTCAAACTTAATCTAGTTTACTGAGATAGATGAGGAAGGAAAAGATAAGTGATATTTTTGCATTTGGCATTAAACTAAAATCTAGAGCATAAAATAGTGCACTGAGCTACAAGTCAGGGGTTGGGGGTTCTGCCACCATAAACCAGACGTTAACTACGTAGTTTTCTTTTTTTTTTGGAGAGACAGTCTCGTTCTGTTACCAAGCTGGACTGCAGTGGTGTGATCTCGCCTCACTGCAACCTCCGCCTCCTGGGTTCAAGTGATTTTCCTACCTCAGTCTCCTGAGAAGCTGGGACTACAGGTGCACATCACCATGCCCAGCTAATTTTTGTATTTTTAGTAGAGACAGTTTCACCATGTTGGTCAGGTTGGTCTTGATCTCTTGACCTACTGATCCACCCGCCTCGGCCTCCCAAAGTGCTAGGATTACAGGTGTGAGCTACTGCTCCTGTTTTTTTTTGTTTTTTTGTTTTTGTTTTTTTTAAGACAAGGTCTTGTTCTGTTGCCCAGGCTGGAGTGCAGTGATATAATCATGGCTCAGTGCAGCTCATTATTCCTGGGCTCAAGTGATCTGTCTCAGTCAGCCTAGTAGCTGGAACTACAGGCACATGCCACCATGCCCGGCTAATTTATTTTCTTTTTCTGGTAGTGATGAGGTTTCACTGTGTTGTGCATGCTGGTCTTGCACTTCTGGGCTCAGGCAGTCCTCCTGCCTTGGTCTTAGAGTGCTGGGATTGTAGGCATAAGCCACTGTGCCTGGCCCATTTTTGTATTTTTAATAACAGTTATGAAACAGAATTTCTCCTAAATCTGAAGATTTACCTACCCCTTAAATGTAAGTTTTCCACAAAATTCTGTGACCTCCCTGTGGCTTTTCTTCTCTATACTCTTTCTGAGTGACTACCCATGCCACAGCCAGAGCTTCTGCCATCACCTTTGAAATAAGGACTCTTAAATTGGAATCTCCCTTATTCCAGATTAGGGTTTGACATATCCATTTGCACAGTGTTTCCAGAACTGTTCCCTTTCCATATCTATTTTCACCTTAATATCTCTTGTCTACATTATCGGAAGTCCGAGGAGTCACCTTCCTGAATCTTATCTTTCTTTTCCATCATTTCATTATTGAAAAATCATGTGCCTTTTGCTCAACTATCCTTGTCAATGCACCACTGCCTGCAGAAGAAAATCCAAACACCCTACTACTGCATTCAGGATCAGCTACAGCCAAGCCCCTACTTAACATTCTTACCAGAGTCCACTCACATGGAACTCCCTACCGTTAAAAGTAGCTCATGTACTATACCAATTCTGTGCCTTTGCTCATTATATTCCATAACCTTGGATTCTCTTGCCCACCTCAACTATGGAAATCATACCATTCCTTCTAAACTCAAATGACATATCCTCTAAATCACCTTTGCACACCCTCCTACCTCTTGTAGCATATACTGTGTAGTATTTATAATTCATACAAATGTATATTGAACTTAGTTATTTACATATGTTAGTAGTTTATATTTGTTACTCAATTTTAAGTTCTTCATGGGCCAAAATTATGTTTCAATTATCTTCCTTTCTGTGATGAGTAAGACATAGTCCCTGTTCTCAAGCGACCTACAGTCTAGCATAGGAGACAATGTACAGTGTGACAAATGCCAAACAAGTG